GTTGAAGCTTTTCCACCGGCGTAACAATAATAGCCGACCCCTCCCAGATATCTAGGTGATGGTATAAACACTTCCCAGTGACAGACAACCAGATGATTCCCTCATGCGTATCTCAAGGTGAGTGCAACGATGCTTTCACCAGGCCAAGGTCTTCCTAATGCACGTCTCCTGGGTGAGCCATGAAGAACAGGCAAAGACCTCTTGATAACAGCCCCAACCCCCAAGATCCTGGCAGAGCCCCGCCTCCTGGGGGAGCTTATCCTATCAGAATGTGTTGGAGTATCACCAGTGGACATCTGTCACTGGTTCATCTTCAGTTGTTTTCTCGTCCTGAAACCTCGGAAACCTGCCTGAATCCTCGTAGCCGCTGCTTGAGCCACTTGATTCCTCTTTCTCACCAGAAATCCACGGACCCCAGCCTGAATCTTCGTCGCTGATTTCTCCTCCAGGGAATTCTTCGTGTCCTGACGCTTCAGTGATACCTTTTTCATCGATTCCTCGTGTCTTGGTGGTCGATTCTCTTTTAATTGTTTACGCACTCTGTAGCCACGGAAATTCGCCTGGATCTTCGTCGCTGCTGAGTTCGCCTTCATGGTGTCCTCTTCAGGTTCGATATTCGACATCAATCACTTCACCGTTTTTTTTTTCTCGATTTTCAATCAATCGGAATTTTTAATCTGCACGTTGTCTAGTTCGTTTGACTATTTATTTTATACTTTCTGTACTCTTTAATTAATTTATCAATTGAAATTGTTTCAATTGGTGAAATCGATGCAATTGTTGATTTGTTTAATTAATTGATTTATCCGATTTGAGGAATAAAATTGTTATTTCAATTGGAAATTACAATTGGCGATGAATTTGTTGATTGATGAATTTATCAATTGAAATTGTTGCAATTTTTGGAATTGTTGCAATTGTTGCAATTGTTGCAATTGTTTAATTGACTGATTTAGTGAATTTCAAGAATGGAATTCTGGTTTCTATTTTAGATTGGAATTGTTGAGTGATCTTGATGATTTATTGAGTTGTTCAGCGAGTTGTTGTTGATTTTATCCTGGTATTCAATTTGCAATTAGTTTGTCACTTGGAGTTTTATTAATTGTTCACTCTCTGGATCCACTGGGGAAACTGATCCGATCTCCGCGTGTTTCAAGGCATCTCTATCAAGTCTCCCGCTTTAGCGTCTGCGCACTTTTCATCAATTGAACATTTTTTATTCCCCTCTGTACACCATTACTCGTTCCACTCATCCGATCAATTTTCCGTCATTATTTATTGATGAATTAGCAATGTGCAACATTTTTTTTCCATCTTTTGCGGTTTTTTAATTGTCCATGATTAATTTAATATCGATATTCAAATAATTGCCATCCGCTTTTAATTGGCTTTTTTATTTTTTCGGTTCTCCCCTTTTTTGTTGCAGACGATTGAGAATTCTATATTCAAATTAAAAAATAGAATAAATAATTTGAACTATCAACAAAAATTATAATTACTCAATCGTCTGATTTGCGATTACAATTACGCCGGAGTAATTAATCAATCAAGGGAGTCGTGACATGAGAAGTAATTGACAAGAATCACCAGCTGATAAATAATCTAGATAAACCATTTGTTTACTTCGGAATTCATCCACCTAATCTCAAATGTTATGACGTGAATCCCCAGTTCATGTGACTGAAATGGGGACGTAGTGGACCCCAAGTGAATTTCCCCTTCAATTTTAAACAGCTCATAAATTCATTGTCGTCAATAAACTCTGATTACGTCTGCCATGATCAATTGAAATTACTCATCACCATCGGCTCCATCCACTCGCGTCGAGAAAAGAATAAATTTTTCAATAAAAATAGCCCAAAAAAAAAAAACGTTCAATTTATAATAATAATAATAATAATAATAATAATAATAATTGAATAATTATTTGTGGAGTTCCCCTTGAATTTTGCAGCTCCCAGAAAAATTATGAATTATGAATTCTATTGAGTATTATTAAAATAAATGATTATTATTAATTCCGTGAAATGTTCCGTAATTTTTCTGGAATAATTATATCGTAACGAATTTTTAATTTATCATTTGCATTATAATATCTCGCTTTTTGGGACGATTATTTATTTTCGTCATCACGTGCCGAAAAGTGACTTTTCCGCACTTGTTACGAAATATCCTATTTTCTCCCACTGTTGACAGTTTCTTGTATTTATTCTACGTCTAATTATTAATTTAATAAACCCATATATTTCCACCATTTTCTAGACTATCTCTCATCGTTTTTTTATTTAATTTCGCATGATCAATAAATTATTTATTCAAATAATAAAATAAAAAATCCAAAATCACTAGAAAATTCAAAATAAAATGAATTATTTTGATAAATCAATCGCAAAAATAGAAAAACCGTTTTCCGCTTCTCCCATAAAATTGCAAAATCAATTCCGCGAGATCAGCAACCAAATTGTTATAAACAATAAAATATTGACGAAAAATAAAAAATAAAAACCGCAGAAAAACCGTCGAAATAGCAAATTGACTAGAATAATTGCTAAAAATAATCTAAAAATAGAACCGGGGAAAAATACCCGTCAGCAATCACTCGTTACGATAATCACGGTGAATCTTAACGTATGTCATCACAGTTCTATTACCCGACCTACGCACATGGAGATGATAACACTCTGCACTTTACGATCATCTCCGCACGAGTTCCCCTAGAGCTCGATGAAAATTTTAAAAAAAATCAAGAAAAAATCGTCAAGTCGGATACCTTCAACCCCTCGTTATACCATTAAACAGACGAGACCTATTAATAAACCTCGCACACCGCGTCACAACTCTAGACGTTAATATCCATTGTAAACTCGATTTGTCAGTGACCCTGAGGACATATCCCCCTCATCTCCAACGGGTTCATCCATAATCCCATAGTTTTTGCCACCCATTTGTCATCTCGCCAGTCACCCCACGTGCTATTTTCACACATCACCGGATCTCCATTGTGACGTCCTCATGACGTCATCACCCAGGAGATGACGTCACCTATCCACGTGTACCTGGTGCATCTTCCTTTGTCCGATAATTAAGATTCAGTAGCGAAGGTGGTGAATTAGCAGAAGCGATTTTTTTTCGAGAGCAGGTTTTAATCAATATCTCGGAATTGAAGGCGAATATCGAATTTTTGGTATAGACATTTTTTATAGAAAAACATGAGGACTCCAAAAAAGGTCTCTATGAAAATATCATTATCTCCCTTCAATTCCGAGATATTGGGGTTCCCCAGTTTGCAACTTTCGTTCAATTAATTTATTCTGTTACAATTCGCGTAGATTGAGTTATAATTTTGATTGACTTATAACTCCTCAACAAATACTGTTTGTTCTCGATTATTTTTTAAGACAACAAAATGGTTACTGGATATATTTATTACAAATATATTTATTTTTTCACATTTCTCGTATCCATCACCCGAAATCTCCTAGACGCTCTAAATATATCCGGAACCCAATGACGTCGAAATGACGCTTTTCTTATTTACAATGTGATAAGAATGATTTGTGGATTTAACATGTACGTCTGACGTCATCCCCTGGGATATGATTCTTATTCTCTGGAGGAAAATGAAATATTTTCGCGAATTATCAACAGATCGCTGGGTACAGGGACCCAGAGATTGTTAAACTCCCAAAAATACGATGAACCATCACCTGTTTAATAGACAAGTTATTTCATACACATGTCCAAGTCTTTTCTAGCTCGAATCCAAAAATATTCAGCCGGTACTTTCTATGAGTTGCCTAGTTTAGCGAAAAATTTTTGGCAAGCATCAGTCATTAACTCATCTCGGATATTCTGAGGAATTTACGTCAATCTCAGGAATTATTTCACTAATTAATTGTTATACCATCAATTATTATTTTTGTAATTACTGAATCAATCCGGATAAATCTGAGGAATAATTTTCTGAATCAAAAGAAATTGAAAATTCAATTGCACATGAGATTTTTCAGTGAAAATCTTTGGTAATTATTTTATCCCTCACCTCATCTTTTAATTACTTTCTCCCTCCGATTTTTTTGACAGCTCAGAAGTCTCTGGAGTCCCGGTAAATTCGTTTTCCTTTTTTTCCTCTCCAGCTAGAATTTCTCCAGAGTCATCCTGAAGGAGAGAGGAACCCCTGCCTGGAACAATCTGCATCATGGTGATGGGTGATTCAATCCTCTCTCCAGCGAGTTGACTCTCTTGAGAGAGACTCATGGATTTCATGGGATCACCAGGTGTCAGTGTGACTTCCAGGAGAGGTCTTCTGACGTGGGAGGTCATGGAGTCCTCAGAGCCGTAATGCAGAAGCTTTCCCTCTTTCATGGGAAAGCCGAGAGTCGCCAGAGGGGCTTCCAGAGCTCCAGCAATATCGAGGACTTGACCGGAGGCTCCAGGATTCTCCAAAGGAAATGATGCCTCTTCCTCTGGAGCTTCTGATTCTATTTCTTTCATTCCACCATTTTCCGGATTATTTTCTGCGACTGCTGGAACTTCAGCTCCTGCTTCGACTCCAGGAATTTCTGGAGTTCCTGGAGTCTCTCGGATCTTTGCAGACTCTTTAGCTTTAATTTCCCTGAGAATCTCCGCCTCTTCAAGACTCGTGATCTCCTCGATGATCACTCCTTTTCTGGGACTCAATTCCAGGAAGTCCCTCGTACTTTCTCCAGAGGCATCACTTCCAGGGGTTCTCGGACGCTTCCTGAAGTCCGGGGTGTCAGCATCTTCGACACTTGTTATGAAATTGAGGTATCCACTCTCGACTGCTGTCTCGTCCTTGGCGAGAACCACTAGATCAACGAGTTTCGTTATTTTCGGGGGAAGACCGAACTGGAGAACTGGAATCCCTGGAATTCCTGGTGCTATCTGGAACATCATTCCCAGTGTCTGCTGCTGCGTTGGGGATATCTCGTCTTCACTCTGCCATTTCGGCTGGAAAATCACTGGGGGAGTGTCCAGAAGTGGGAGAGGGATGCAGTCATGGAATTCTCCAGTGTGACGTAGACCCTCTTCTCCAAATGCTCGCTCCATCGAGATTGTTGTTCTCTGCATGGCGTCCTCCCGTCGAAGACGCTTTCGAGCTTTGTAACCACGGAAATTACTCTGGATTGTCGTTGCTGCTTCCTCCAGGTCTCTCTCTGGAACTCCCAGAGACTCCAGTGGACGTTCGTCGATCTGGAATCAGAGGTTTTGACTCTCTCCTTTTTTTCACACTGGTTTCTCCGGAATATCTCGTGATCGAAGGGAGATACCACTTTTTTCGTAACCACTTTTTTTGTAGAAAAAAACGAGAGCTATTAAAAAGTTCTCATCGAAATTTCAG